AATTAGAAAATTTAGTACCGAACTGAAAAAATTACAAAATTTGAATGAATTTAAACTTACCGTGAATTTAGGTGTGTTCAAAGACAATAGCACAAAAAGAAAAACAAACAAAAAAATAGATGTTTTGAAAATAAAATGTATTTTTCACGTTATATTAAAATGGATGAAAAACAAATGAAATAAGATTAAATATTACACATTTTAAAATGTTATGTTATATTTTAAATAGAAAATTATTGATGTAAAAAATAAAAATATAATAAAAAGAAATATATGTTAAAAAAAAAGTTTGCCTTACAAGTGATTATAAAAGAAAAACATAAAAGATGAGATAATAATTTTAAATGAAAAGATAATTATATTTAACAAAGATTATCAACAATGAAAAAAATAAATAAAAAGATCAAAAATTAAATTTAAATAAATAAACATTGAGATAAAAAGAAATATTAGAATACTGTTTTATTATTTTTTATTTAATTTTTATTTAAATTAGATATTAAGAAATTTTATTATTATTTAAAATAAAATATATTACATTATTATTTTAACTTATGATTTTAAATATTATTAATATTTAACATTTATATATAAATTATAAATATTTAACATTTATATATAAATAAAAGCATAGAGATACATCAAGTGAGAGATCTATTTTATATATAAAAACTTAAAATATATATTTTATATATAAAAAAATATACATACAATAGTTAGGCAATAAGCGCTAGCCACTTAGCTAAAAGCTTAAGCTATTGGTATCAGAGCGAGACCGCGTGCTCGATTCCTGCCGAGGACGGAATTGGGGCAGCGTGTGGTAAGTCCCCTCGAGATTCCCGAAGAGCGGGGGAATCAGAGTCGCGGAAGCGTGGTGGGACCGGTGGTTAAAGTAATAAGTGTGAACCCTTACTAACAGCTTAAGCTTTTCGCTAAGTGGCTAGCGCTTGTTGCCTAACTATTGGTATCAGAGCGAGGTCGCGTGCTCGATTCTCGCCGAGGACGAAATTGGGGCAGCGTGTGGTAAGTCCCTCGAGATTCCGAAGAGCGGGGAATCGAGTCGCGGAGCGTGGTGGGACCGGTGGTTAAAGTAATAAGTGTGAACCCTTACTAACAGCTTAAGCTTTTAGCTAAGTGGCTAGCGCTTGTTGCCTAACTATATCACACTTATTACTTTAACCACCCGTCCCACCACACTTTCGCGACTCTGATTCCCCCGCTCTTCGGGATACCAAGAGAGAGGGGGAGGGACAAGAGGGGTGGAAACTCAGATAACTGAGTACCCCAAAAACAAAAGGTACAGAGAAAGCAGGGAAAACCTGCTTAGATACCAAAGGGCAAACAAGACAGAGAAAACCGGGGATGAACCCAGAATAAACTGCCCTGAGACCCGAAAGGGGATGAAAAGGAGGAAAGTAAAGAGACAGGAAAACAAATAAATTAAAACATGTTATAACTCTTTATCTCTTCTGTCGGTTAACGTGGCTACTTAGCTCACAGAGAACCCGAAACCGGGCTAGCTAAAATGAAGACTGTCCGAGATAAAGTCGGTTATAGCAAGAAAAGTGTTCACAATAAGATTATGAGATGACTGAATCTGGCATAACCGGTTAGACATCTCCTCATAAGCTTACATGAACGAAATTAAATGCAGAAATTTAAAGACGGGAAAAATAAACACACAAGTCCATGATAAGATTATGAGATGACTGAATCTGGCAGAGCCGGTTAGACATCTCCTCATAAGCTTATATGAACAAAAACAAAGCTGTACAAAAAAAAATATTTAAGCCTTTAAATGATTATCGCATCTTTAAATAAATAAAGCTTAAGGCATCCGAGGACGCCCTTATAAGAAAACTACTCCATAGAGGGGGAGCAGAGAAAACTTACTCGGGGGGAAGAGAAGGAGAAGGAGAGGGGAGATGCTGAATAACTTCTCTTATTGATAGTAAGAAATTTACATAAGAAGTAGAGAGAAGGAGGAGAAGAGAGAGAGGAGAGAGTATTCTGCAGTCTTCTTCCCAGCATAAGGGACTTACGAAGCCTTATATAGAAAAACAAAAATATTAAACTAATGAATAGTAATTTACATGTGGGACCCACTTTATGACTAATGGGTCTCAAAACTTAGCAAAGAAGTAATCCTACGGAGGAAACTTCCTCACTAAAAACAAAAACAAATAGTAACGTCACTAAAAGACAAAAATAGTGACATTCATTTTTTTTTTTTTACATTTTATCAAAAGATCGATTCAATCTTACCGTCATTAACATGCAAGGCTTAATGAGCCTAACAACATGTAACGGAAGAGGAATCGTGACAAGGTAGCAAGATATCATTATCTGCCATTAACCTTTGTCATCTTTTGATACTGCAGTGTATGACGTAAGGGCTTACGTCATGCGAAGCTCCTCGAAATCTTCAAGGGCAAAATCGTCTTTATCAGAAAGACCTATTGGTGAGGCGGGAATTGTTCAATTCTGCCATTTGAAATTTTAAGAATGTCTTCTTGAAACTGACACAAAAGACATGTCTTCAAGTCCTTCTTCAACCATCTGGTCAATGAAGTTTACTTCCTCATCATCAGAGGGAAATGAAGCTCCTGGGGTTCCTTGTCCATGGATTCCAGCTTTCTTCATAAATTTCTTTGAGAATCCTTTCTCTTTTGAAGTGTTCTACCGTAATGGGACCGGCTTCAGTTGGGAAAGGATGAAACTTATTTCCCATAAGTCGTTTCCAATAGAGCTTGGTATCGCTAGCTTTTCGAGAAGAATAAAATCGAAATATCCTTTTTAGAGAAATTCCAGTTAGATCCTTCTACAAAAGCTTTCCAAAGCTGATATTGGTAAAGCTTATCTTTGTTTAGAGTAAGTCCCCGAAAAGGATCTTGCTCTATAGAGGTACGCATCTCGTGATTTACCTTCGTGTATAACTTAACAACATGTTTTGCCATGTTGTCAAGAGAATTTGGACTTCTTGGGAAGAAGTAATTTTTAAGAGCACACTCATCATATGCTCGGCTTGTATTTCATTTACCACGTAGTTTATTTCTGGGTTAATGAATGAAATCTTTCTGTAGGAGGGATGGTAATATTTTGAAGACATCCGACTTCTAACGAAGTCGAGGGCTTATCGAAGCTCTCAGTATAGTTGGTTTTTGAAGGTAGACAAATCAATTTGTGCCCTTCTGATGACAAACTTTAACTCGACATGTACATTTTGTGGATACTATTTTACAATATTCCGAGGATCCTAAACAAGGGTTCCTAGTGTTAAAGTAGGTCTGTGTTTTGACAGTAAGCCCATTGGGATTTTGGGCTTCAGAGTGAACTTCAAACAGAAATTCTTGTATTACCCCAAACTTGGCTAAAAAGATGTTTGGGTTAACCTGGGTAGGAAGACAACAGGCTCCTGCATAGGTTTGTGTTTGGGCCTTTGGTTCAAGCAAAAGGGCCGTTTTTATTTTTTCTTCATTTATAGTTTCCAATTTCAAAGCCATCTGGGCTTCTTCCTTGGAATAAAAACCTTTGTAATTAGACCAAAACTGGTCTTGTTTGGCCTCAGAGAGGTCTTTGTATGAAGTATAAACTCCTTTGTTTGGCCCCGTAACTAGGGCATAATGTGTAAACCCCTTACCAGAAGGAGAAGTTGCGGATGTCAACCTAACTTCCTTGTTATCTGCATTGCAGAAACTGTATAATGCGCTAATAATGCTTTGCTTCATTTTAGCGACTTGTTGCTCATTCTGAGCTGTGTATTTTGGAATATTCCAAATATTGTCAATTAAAACATTTAATTTGACATTTGTAGTACCAATAGTTAGGCAACAAGCGCTAGCCACTTAGCTAAAAGCTTAAGCTGTTAGTAAGGGTTCACACTTATTACTTTAACCACCGGTCCCACCACGCTTCCGCGACTCTGATTCCCCCGCTCTTCGGGAATCTCGAGAGGACTTACCACACGCTGCCCCAATTCCGTCCTCGGCAGGAATCGAGCACGCGTGGCCAAGCATAAGGGTTGCTTTGTATGTATAAATATTTATACATACACAAAAACGTACAGATTTTCATAAATATATATAATAAAAAATAAATATATTTATTTAGATAAAATATTACAATAATCCACATTAATAAAAATTATTATATATATAGTCAAAAAAATAAAATAAAATAGGAGAGTGGATATGTGGACTAAAATGCATATTAAGTCACATGTTGCCTGAGAAACCAGTGGTTGGTTAATTGGATAATTTTTATATAATTGTAATTTATTTATTATATAAAAGTTATATTTAGTATGAATTTTATTGATTAATATACTGTTTATTTATAAGTATATAAAGATTTTTTAACCTTTTTTTTGTTAAGTTTCATGAGAGAAAAATAAAATATTTATTTTTAAAAATAATTATTATAATTTATATAAAAAAATATTTAAAAAATAAATACACACCTATGTTTCACCAATAAAAATAATATCTTTAATTTATTAATAAAAAAATATTATTTTTCAAAGAATTCAACAAACAACACAAAGTAACCATCCTAGCTTTGAAGAACGAATCCAGTATTTGTAAAAAAACTAAATTAGGAAGCAGAACGACGACGTTTTACTGTTTAGAAAGAACAGCATGAGAAGATGTGAATCCCGAATCCGCATCACAGCTTCCCCAATCTTCTTCTTGTTCAATCTTCATCATCCAATCCCAAACCATTCAACACGTTAGGGTTTTCATTATTGCAGTTCCACCCCCTCTCGTTCTCGTGCACCGCCATTGCCTTCGCCCTCTCTCCTTGATCGCCAACTGTCTGCGTCCAACGATGCAACGCACCCTCGCAATTCCTTAGTTTCGAGGACGTTTTTTTTTTTTGTTTTTTCAGCCGCCAACTGCGTAACTGAGTTGCGTTGGAGTCCAACCTTACACGCGCAGAGTTTCTTCGTCGTTTCTCAGTGTGCGTGTGTCTGAAAGGTGCTTCGTTTACCTTGAACAACTATGTTTCCCTTCCATCCTCAAGGAGCTCCCAAACACGCCTGCACTCTTCTCGCTGTGACCTGTGGCGGTAGTTTAGCCGAGAACAAGTCCTCACAGCATCAGCGCAAATATCCTTTCCCGGAGCTAGTTTCGGCGGGGCGTCTTGAGGTATGCACGATGAGCGCATTCACATTGTTGTAATGTAGGTTTAGGTCTCCACGTTGAGAGTCACGGTTATAGCATGACCTGGATTTTGCTGACGCAGGTCCAAACTCTTCACAATCCGGATAAGGAACAGTTTCTGAAAGTGCTGGAGTCTTATCAACCAAATTTTGTATATTTGCAAGGAGAACAGCTAGAGAATGGAAAAGTTGGTTCGCTGGCTTGGCAAGGTGTGGAGTTATCGACTTCTGAAGATATCATAGAGCTCTTTGGTTTCACATTGCCGACGGCTGTATGTATTCTGAATTTCTAGCTACTCTTTTGGCTATGTGTGTGTTTTGTTATGGCGCTCTTGGTTAACATGTATTAAGGTCAGCGAAGAAGGGAAAATATATGAAGTAGAACTGCATACTGTTAAAAGAATGTGGGAGAAAGAAGGAAAAGTATAGGAAGTAGAAAAGCATACTGTTAATAATGTTAGAAACCTGCTACTATATTTCCTAGGTCAGTTGTATGGCACAGACATTTGAGTATTGAACCAGTCAATGTGATACTTAAGGATGGTAGAGTATGGAAACTTGGCTACATTTTGACAGGGAGCTGAGTATTATTATTATTATTACTATTACTATTATTATTATTATTATTATATTATTATTATTATTATTATTATTTTTATTCTATAGGATGCCTGTGTCCCACATCAAGTAATAAAAGATGTTCAGTTGATTAACTTGGTGTTCCCCCTTAACTAGCTTTTGAGGGAAGGTTTCCTAAGTGCTTCTGTGCTTATCACATTACTCATGAAATTTAATTGCGTTTCTCTCAAAATTTTGAGGTCCAATCTTGTGTGTTAAAATTATTAGCATTCTTTTTAGCCTTTCTTTAATTAAGACATTCTGTTTAGCCTAAATAGCTGTTTTGATCTTATAAAAACTAATATGGTTCATCTGATTTACATTTGCTCCCCTCAGTTGGCATTGTGGGTATGGTGTTTCATTTGATGTAGTTTCAATGATTTCTTCAGGTTTATTTAGAAATACCAAATGGAGAAAGTTTTGCCGAGGCTCTGCATCTTAAGGTACTTTTTCTTAGTTGCTTGTAAAAACTCATGTTTCAATACTCAACAAACTACAATTGATGAAGGATGATAAAAGACACAAGAACCCCTTGCATTATCATAATTTTATGGTGAAAGTTGGCTTATTTAATTAGATTGACTTTGCAGGGAATACCATATGTTATATTTTGGAAGAATGCCTTTTCTTCTTATGCTGCTTGCCATTTTCGTCAAGCATTTCTGTCAGTAGTACAGAGGTATGATATTGATTATTATATTGCAACTCGCAAGCATGTGGCACATTCACTATGAAATGGCTTTTTAAATCCAATTGACCCACTGATACAAGTCATATTGGTGGATGATTCAATTCACATATAATGATGCATCCAGTAGCGGGTCATCTATGAAAGGAATACTTTCATGTGAAATCTGGAACTTTTCTAGTTTATAAGTTTTTAAAGTCAATCTTAGAAAAATTTACTAATATTTTGGTTTGAACTATGAAGGGCCAGACTTTATAGTTGTCCAGTATACCTTGTTTCTCTCATTTTCCGTGTCCATGCAATATTTGTTGGCCTTTTTATTTCTTAGGAAAGGATAAAAGACATTAAAGTGGTGGAATTTGTTACTTAATATGTAGTGCTGTGAACAAATTTTTTGCAGTTCATCTACACATACATGGGATGCTTTCCACCTTGCACGTGCCTCTTTTGAACTTTATTGTGTCCAAAACAATCAAGTACTTCCTACTGATAGCCATGATACTAGTAGTGAGATGGGACCACACCTTCTTGGTGATTGTCTCAAAATCAATGTTGAACCTCCAGAGATTGATGAGGAAGATGATGACGAAAGCTCCTCAGGCACTCTGCCTGCCATAAAGATACATGAAGATGAAGTGAACTTGAGATTTCTCATCTGTGGTGCACCTTCGATTGTTGTAAGCTTCTTTGGAATTCTACTTGCTATTAAGTGTACCCTAAAACCACCTTTAGACTTTGATGCTAATGTAACAAAAAATGTCTGTGGTAACTGTGATGTAGTGACATTCGATTACCTACATATATATGTCGAAATTAAGTTTATCTGTTTTCGAACATAGCAAGAGTATGTTTAATGATTACACATGGCTTTCTTTCTTTTCAGAATGAGTCATTGCTGAGATCTTTGGAGGATGGACTCAGAGCTCTCTTAGCTATTGAAGTATGTTGACTTTATAGTTTAGTTAAATTGTCTTACTTGGATTATAATACACCATGTTAGCAAAATATTAAGATGTATAACCCTTTTTAAAATGTAAAATAAAAATTTACTCTTTATAAAATAAGATCCACTGTTTTCCCCATCATTATTCAATCTGGTGTACTCTTTCCATGGGAGAAATATAAATATAAATATAATAAACTACAACTTCTTGCAGTAATTTTAGTGGCTTTTTACCCTTATTTTGTTTTGTAGCTTTTTACTAAAACATTTTAATCTGCTTGAGATGTTCTCTTAGGAGGTTTTCTCAATTTATGTGTTTATCTTTTCAGATCCGTGGTTGCAAGCTCCATGGCAAGTTTAGGTATGTCAATATAATTTGCATATGATTTGTACATTAAAACTTGAAAAGTGTCTCTCTCTTAGTAAAATTCCTTTATTTTCATGTATTTTCAGTAGGACTTATTGAACAGTTGAATATGATTTGCCACCATGTAATATGTATTTTTATGCTATGCTACAGTGCCCCACCACCACCTCTTCAGGCAGCCACTTTTTCTCGTGGAGTAGTGACCATGCGATGTGATATATCAACCTGTAGTTCTGCTCATATCTCACTTCTGGTATCTGGCAGTGCACAAACTTGTTTTAATGATCAGGTACCCTCCAAGTATCTATGTTACTATTGTTTAAGTTTTATTGATTTAGCAAACAATAAATGCAATTTGCACTGATATTGAAAAAAAAATTGATACCAAACTTACATTTCTCTCAACAACAACTTTTTATAGTTATATATATATATATATATATATATATATATATATATATATATATCATGTTCCTGAATGTTGAAGTAAGTTTTGATTTCATCTCATGATGTTTTATTTTACTATTTTCTTTTCAGAATTTAATTTATCATCCTTTTTTGGAATGACACTGTTCTTTGATCATTTTCTTTATCATTGAATTCTCTAATGGCTATTTTATTAAGCATCTAGTCAATAAACTTGCATGTGAGGTGCAATTATAATATATGCATTCTGCAAGATACTTCTATCTGTTGAAGTTTTGATATTATTATTCTTTGGCCTATTGATTTTACTTTTTAGCTCTTGGAGAGTCATATAAAAAATGAGATAATTGAGAAGAGTCAACTAGTTCATGCACAACTCAACAATGAGGGAAACAAACAGAACATCTCTGAACCACGCAGATCTGCTTCTATTGCCTGTGGAGCACCAGTATTTGAAATTTGTATGAAGCTTCCTCAATGGGCTTTGCAGGTTTCAATATCTCTCCCTTTTACCCTTCTTCATTATAATATTATGTGTTAGTGTTGTTTTATTGCTTAAAATTATTATTTCTGAATGTCTTTCCTTCTTACTAGTTTTATACTTGAGAATTTAATCATTGCTAATTGTTATTCTCTTGTGGGATTATCTAACCTAGATGTTAAGAATATATCCTGCATTTTTTGCTTATAATACTTTTTATGTCCAATTTTGTACTAGGAATGATTAGATAGTAGTGTAGAGGGCATCTACCTTTGCTGTCTACCCTGCATCATTGCACCGTATTCTTTAAATATGCTTTTGATTAGCCCTATTATTATGAGTGGTTCTACGATATCCAAAGAGTTGCACACTGGGATTTATCATTACGATTGTTTCAAACAATAATGCTACATTTCCCTGCTATCACACTGTATTGACCTACCTGCTTAACCCGTTTTCAAATTGGGTAATCTACATTTGCATGGCTAAAAATGAAAGAAAGCAGATGGTAACAAGGACTTTTGTTTGTAAATACTTGGATTTTAGGTACAGTATCCAAAGTTTTACATCCTATAAGAATTGGAGTTCTATATTATCATAGTTGTTCTTATTCAGATTCATAATTTCATGTCTTGCTGCTCCCGTCAGGTTTTGAGACAGCTAGCACCTGAGGTTTCTTATCGAAGTTTAGTTGCACTTGGCATTGCTAGTATTCAGGGGTTGCCTATAGCTTCTTTTGAGAAAGATGATGCTGAGCGCTTACTTTTCTTCTATCGAAGTTGTGAGAAAGATAGTGGTATGAACAAAAATAATATAATATTTAGCAGCCCCCCTGGTTGGTTGAAACCACCCCCTCCTAGAAGAAAAAGTAGTGAACCAAGCCAAGGGGCTAGCCCTGGTCGTCATGAAGGTGTCTTTGTTGGGCAGGGCACTGTTTGTAAAGTAAATGATGAAGAACAGGATAGAAAAATGGCGAATGGGATTAGCACACCCTTAACTCCTGCTAGACAGAGATTAAAAGTATCTGCAATGAGGCCAATTCCTCACATTCGTCGCCATAGAATGACACCTTTTTGTGGACCTTCTGAGACAGATGGTTTTGATGGTGCCCAAGTAGAGGCTAATTTGCCACTTGTTGCCCCTACAAAGCGAAGTGGTATTGGATCAACGTCTGCAACACACAGAAAATCATCATTTTCAAGCGCAGCTCAATCAAAGCAGGTTATTTCGCTGAACCCATTGCCCCTTAAGAAACATGGTTGTTGTAGAGGCCCAGTCCAGACATGCTCTGAGGTTAGTTTTCCTTTGTCCATTGTTTTAAAATAATTTGATGAGTTGTAACCTATGTATTCACACAATTTTTTATTCAAAATCCTAATTTCAGACATTATTTCATCTGATCTTGAGGATTGTGCTCTCGAGTTTTGATTTTAAATGTATCATTGTCTTCAAACAGAAAACTCTAAGTAATACATAAGTTGATGAAAATGGTTGCTGCCATTCAACAAATAGTTTTCTAACATAGTCTTAACATTGATGTGAAAATTTTAATTACCTATCCTAGAAGGATGGTCTGCTTTTTCTAATTAATGATCTTTGGATCAATATTTCATAAAAGAATATTATAAGACCTAAATATTGCTAAATCATACTGGGCAAGGGCTAATTGATCAACGATGCAACGATGGGCATCTATATTTCAGAAAACAAAAGATATCTCTTTTCTTTTCATTTTCTAATTGTTTTCCTTTTAGTGATTTTTATATATATTCCATAAAGAAATTTTGTCCTAATTGTTACTAAATCAATCTGTATTAATTGGCAATCATTCAATGAGAATATATTTTAAAAAATTCTGATTGTAACTTTCTGTACAGGAGGAATTTCTTAAAGATGTCATGGAGTTTCTGATACTCCGGGGACATAATCGACTAATTCCGCAAGGAGGGCTTACTGAGTTCCCCGATGCCATACTCAATGGAAAACGTCTTGATCTATACAATTTGTATAAAGAGGTGAGTTAGTGACTCTGAATTCTTTGAGCATGATTATGGATGAGATTTTTTATATATTTTCTTTCTCAATTCGTTGGTCTGCTTAGGTGGTTACCAGGGGAGGATTTCATGTTGGCAATGGCATCAACTGGAAGGGGCAAATCTTTTCAAAGATGCGCAATTACACCACGACCAATAGAATGACTGTAAGCTCTATGCGTTGGCTATATACCTTGAGTAGTTGATTTTTGTGTTTGTTGTATTGACTCTGGAATTTCACTTTAAACTTTAATATTGAAATTTACAAGGAATGGTTTTTCCTATCTTTTGATGTGAAAAATTATGTTAAATTAAATTAACAGTAAGTGATCTCCATTGGGTGTCAGAGCAAGAAAGTCTATGAATCTTCAACAACATGATAGAATCCCAGATATCAGGATGACTCCTGAGGAAGTGATTCTAAATATATATTACCAATTCCATAAATCGCTTTTCTCTCTTTTTGTATTGGGTAAATTAGATTATGGAAACACATCTGATCAGTTCTTTGTTCATGTTATCATTTGGTCCCAAAACTGAGTGTTGCTTGCACCCTAACTTCGAAAACCTTTATCGGAAAGAACCTTAAATTAGTGCTTTCTTTCTAGTACTGTATTCTGTTTTATTTCTCATTTAAAAAAATAAAAATGGTGCAATTTTATTTTTATGTGGTGGGCCTTTGAGCTAGGCCTTGGTGTACTAATTGATAATTGTATGTTGTTGGTATTACCTCTGTTGTAGTTTCTTTAAAACGCTGTAAGGGAAGTGTTTTGAGAAGGATATAGCGAAGTTAAGATTGCACTGATAAAGAAGTTCTCTAGCTAACATAGGATTTATGTTTTAAGTGGATGCTAGTTTATTATGTGAAATTAACTGGCAGCTAAATTATTTTTTTGTCTTCTTCTTCAGGGTGTTGGAAATACTCTGAAAAGACATTATGAGACCTACCTTTTAGAATATGAATTAGCACATGATGATGTGGATGGAGAATGTTGCTTGTTGTGTCACAGGTTTGAACATAATATATTTAAAGTCAATGAAGCTATGCACCTACATTAGTTTAAGACTCGTAATTAATCATTCAATGTTATAATTGTCAACCGTCGCAGCAGCTAATATAAATTTTATGTTTTCGTTACATTCTTTACTATTAAACAGTAGCGCAGCTGGTGATTGGGTGAATTGTGGCATATGTGGTGAGTGGGCCCACTTTGGCTGTGACAGAAGGCAGGGTCTTGGCGCATTTAAGGTAGTACTTCGTCATGTACAACTATTGTATGTCCGAAGAGTCTCAATGTTATCTAGTGCAAAATAATATATCTCTGCTTTTAATTGATATTAAGGTGTTCTTTCATTCACAACTTCCGCAGGATTATGCAAAAACTGATGGGCTAGAATATATATGTCCTCATTGTAGTGTGGCAAATTTCAAGAAGAAACAAAATGTTGCTAATGGGTATTCTCAAGGTTCAGTGTCTTCACGAATCCTTTGATGGTTTCTCTTCTGGAATAGCAGAGAAACTAGTTTACCTGCTTTGCTGGATTTATCTGTACTTTTAGATAGATTAGTGAAATATAGGATGAAAAAAATGAAAATTAGGTTAATCAACACAAATGTCATTAGGAGTAGGCGAACCCCTTCCACCTTGTTTCTTTATTAGGGGCACAAAAATTCCTAATTCAGATAACGGAACTCATACCACTTTCGGATCCCCGTCAAACTCTCCATTGTCAGCAGTGAGTTGAAAGTAAGTTTATTACGAGTGTCCTATTGTATTGAAAGGAAAATGTGTATAGACTTGTGCACTAAGAATGTTTATATGATTTAATTCAACATATCATTTCCAAGACTTTTTTACTACACATACTACTTCTCGGTTGTCAGCTTTTAGTTATGTGAAATGAAAAAATAAATGTATCTATACATGAGAAGCTATATAACCACTATCTAATACATTTTTATTTCCTTCTATTTGTTGAAATTATGAAATTATTATGACTAAAGTAAGGAGTGAAACTTACACAATTATGCTTTTTAATAAGTTGCAGCTAATAATAAAGTGTGCTTATTATCTCAAAGGATGTTCTGTTTTTTGGGGTCCAATTTCAATCTTAAAAAACGTTGAAATAAAAGTAATGGTTTCTGTAATTCACAACAAAGTTGACTTCTGAGCAAAAGATGGAATAAATTTTTAGCAAGAGATTATTTTGATAGATAGCATGTATATTTTATTCATCAAAGTTAGAATAAGCGCATCTTGCTTTATGTTCTCACATAATTTTTAAATTTTGTTTGTTTATTACTTTTTAAAAAATTTGTTAGTTTTAGTTTTTTTTTAATAAATAAGGAATAAGTTGTTAATAACTATATTACATCATTTATTTTGAAATTATTAAAATTGATTTTTAACTTTTATTCTGTTTTTTTTAATTGATGTTATCTTCTTTTGTCTTAAATAATTTTGGTTACATAGGTAATTTAATAAAATGTTTCAATGTGGTTCAAAAATTTTTAAAATTTTCAATTTAGACATGAATATTGAAATTGATGTCAATTTTGGACTAACATTATTTATGTTTTGACTCTGTTGTATTAGATGTCTAGTTGGAGTATCAGTTTTGATGTGGTTAGGTGATTGATTATAGTTACGTGACAGATTTCCTATGTCACATTAAAATCGCAAGAAGAAAAGATTACGTGACAGATTCCCTCTTCTCTCGTCATTGGAAACAACTCGTTTCCTCGATGTCATCATTATAAACCCTAAATAGAATCAACATCTTCCTCCTTCGTCACAGTCAATCTCACACACTACGGCGATTGGAACCCTAAACCTCCACTGTCGTCACAAATGGAACTCCCATCTCCCCTATCATTGCAGATCCTCTCGCTTTCCCTCATCCATTTGTACAAACTCTCAATTGTTCAAACCCTAAACACATCCACAACCCTATTCCTTTCTTTCTGCAGTTTTAATTTGACGTGGTAAATCTGTCACGTAAATATAACCAATCACCTAACCATATCAGAACTAACGGTAGTCCAAAATTGACATCAATTTCAATATTCATGTCTAAATTGAAAATTTTAAAAATTTTAGGACCACGTTGAAATATTTTAATAAATAAAGGGATTAATTACCTATTTAACCTAAATTAGAATTATTAAATACATTTTTTCAAAAAAAATAATGTAAAATGATCTTTAAAACTGATTTAAAAAAAGGATTAGTGTCACGTTTAGTTCTAATTTTACTTTAAAGTCTAAATTATTCTGTTGTGAGAACTTCCCCTTTTCTTTTGCCGACGATTGTCTGCTGAAACTTTAACTTTGTCAAGAGCAAACAAACTTGCTTTCCTTTTTTTTTTTTTTTTTTTTAGACATGAACTAGATTTAATTAAAAAATATATAGCAACTTTATAACTCAAATAAAAAAAACAGGTTTATCAAAAAGAAAAATAGATAATCTTCAATTAAAACCAACATATAAATTGTAATTAGTTTCCTTCTTGACTTGAAGAATTAGTATACGATGGTGATGCATCCCTTACTGATGAATAAGAATAAACTTGCTTTTGCCATTTGCATTTGGCATATGTTCTAATGTTTTAAATAAAAAAGCAGCAGAAACGCATGTCAATTCTCTTTTTTTTAATATTTCCTAATGTTTTGATACGAGCTGTACAATGATTTCTTTTTTTACTTATTCTCTCTGTCTCTACAATTGAATAGAGAATCTGATTAGGTCATTCATTACATTTAATACAACAAGGAGTTATCTGATTAATTATACAACACCCACAAGTTTTCATTTTGCTATAATTTCTTTAGAAATAACTATTTCATAAAAAAATTGTCAAATAAAAACGCTTATATTTAGAGAAAAGTCATTTTTCTTTTTAAAAACAGTGATAATTAATTGATAGTCATTGTTCAAATACAATCAGTTGATAATTAAATATATCAATTTAAAAATAGTACTAATACTAATACTAATAATAATAGTAATCATCATAATAAATTATATATTATTATCTAGTTCTTTACAGGAGAATAAACTAAATAAATCAAATTTTTGTCATGCTGAGAAAATTATAAAAATTAATTAAAATATTAATTTCCATTATATGTCAAACTTTAACTTTAAAAATTTAATTTTATTAAATTGAGTAAAGTTACAATAATCTTAAAAATTAACTTTTATATATAGCACGTATTGAAATTGGTACCAATATCGGAAAAAAAATCTTAAAAGTATATGAAGAAAAAAGAATAATTCATAAAACCCAATTTGATATAATATATTTTTCCTTAAATTAATATTTCCATCCTTTCTGTCTTTTGACATTGGGTATTGGATAGTAAAACCCAAAAAAATCAAGTAAATCGGGAAAATTATACACATTGATCTTCATCATTTAAATTTTATCATTGAATAAGAAAAACTTAATAAATAGTGGATTCAAACATTAATTGAAAGTAAATGATATTATTTTTATTTTTGAACAAAATAATTTTAAAAATATATGCGTTGTCTAATTCCGTCACTAATATGATCACTTAACAAACAAGTTATCTATTCTTTTTAAAAAATACACACCAAATAAAAAAAATAAAACTTTTGGAAATCAAAATAAAAAAATTAATGAAAACAAAAACGAAATAATATAATTTCTTTTAAAAGCAAAAGCAAATAAGAAACACACATTTAACCAAAATAGATTTGTCACTTAACGAATCTCAATAAAGAGTAGAGACTAAAATGGAAATAAATTTTTTATAATCATTAAAACGAGAATTTTGTATTTTTTTTTATGTATAAATCCGAAAATCTATGAAGGATAGAAAATTATTTAAACGAAAAATAATAACATACAATTATTTTACACTATTTTTACTTTGATAATACTCTATTTTCTCTATTCTTAAAAATAGTTTAATATCACAATTTAAATAGTTTATTTTAAATTAAAATGATATTTTATGTCTTTCAAAAATATTTTAATTTGTAATATAATTTATATATATTTATCAATATTTATTTTATTTTAAACATATATCAAAATAAATATTTCAGCTTTTCACAAAATAAAGCTGAATGGGTGGATGAAAATCATTGAAGCACCTTCTTGCAGCAGATGCTTTCATCCACAAAAGTTATTCACCTTAGGGCATTATATATATAAAAACTTGATCCTTCAAATAAAGTGTGTATCCAATTAATACACATAATTTTTTATTTTCTGTATATTTGAGATTCCATGTATCTTTAATGAAAAACACATTTGAGAACATTTGAGATAGTTAGACAATTACATATATCAGATTCGAATTCATAATACTAAAATCACGTGGTAACAATTAGTTTATGAATTTATAACTTTTTTAAAGAAAAGAATATTCTCATGCAGATATTTCATTGAAAGTAGTTAAGAAACGAGACAGAAGTTATCAAAGAATTATCAGATTCTATTAAGCCATGGATTCTAACTGCTTGATTAAATGCTCCTATGAAAACGCCACACACTTATTTCTCTTGTTATATAACACTCAGTCTTCTAAACTAACTCTCCATCCCTTGAAAAACACCCTCTTAATTTTTCCTTCACTTTCTTCATTTCATGGCCAACATTCTTGTCAACCCTCCTTTCCTTCTCAGGTTAATTAACCCTTCTACCATTCTTATTCTTTTGCCTTGCATGCATAACATTCATTCTCACAAATTTATTAAATACAATATCATAAACTTGTTGGTGTTATATATTCTCTAACTAACATCAAGCTGAGAAAAAAAGTTGCCAAATTTAACTGCATAATAATGCATCCGAAGTTTATTTTCTACTCCTTTTTTGCATATTTTCTATCTTGTTAATTATGAAGGCAAGGTGCAGGAAGCGATGTTATACTGCTGTGGCAGAAAGTTTAAGGATGCAAATGGAAGAAACAACAGTGAAGGCAAAAGCAGCAGCAGATTATAATGGCAATAAAGAGGAAAAGTTTTGGATGAGAGATCCAAAGAGTGGAAATTGGATTCCTGAGAAACACTTTGGCGAGGTTGATGCTGCGGAGCTGAGGGAGAAGTTTCTGCCCAAGACACACTCAAAATCTAACAATCAAGTTAATTAGAATCTGAGTGAAACAAAAAACCACCACGTCTGTTCTTCACTTTGTTCTTCAGCTGTGTAATAAATATATGTTCAGTTCGCTAAGCATTTACGTTTTTGTATTGCTATACTTTTATTAATATATATATATATATATATATATATATATATATATATATATATATAAAATTTAATATATTTAAGATTTTATATTGAAAATAATATTTTATTCTCCGATAAATGAATCGTATTTCTATTCTGAATTTTCAAGGATTATTATGTTGGAAAATTAATAATAATAATAATCACTACTACAGAAAACACTTACTACGACAACATCCAACGTCGGTTTTTATGAAGACCGACGTTATACAAGACGCGGTGGCAAACTTGTAATTAAGAAACAATATTTAACGTCGGTTATAAAAAATCCGACGTAGTAACAGACAAATAACGTCGGTTAGATGACAGACGACGTTAAATGGGTTATGTATAACCGACGTTGAAATCCCAAAATCAACGTCGGTTCCATGATTTACCCGACGTCGAAAGCATTATCCACGTCGGGTTTTTTAATAACCGACGTTGAATGTCCTATGATACCTACTCCAAGACGCACAGTTGTTCTTCTGCTTCTTCTTCGTGCCCACATACCTCCCTCCTTCTGTCCTCACTGCCGTGCACTGCTACCTCAGTTCGCTGTGGTCTGCTGCCTCAGTCCTCACTGCCGTGCTCTGCCCCCTCGCCGCCCCTTCGCCGCGCTCTTACGCGGCGTACCCCCGTTGTTGTCGTGTGTGTGGTAGCCCTCGTTTCCCTAAGGAAACCCCTTCTCATCATGTTAGATTAAGTTGTATGGATGATTTACAGCATGCATTTAACATAAATATGGATTATTTAGAGCATTTCCTGCGTATGAACATTAGAAAGATGATGGATGATTTTGTATGGTTTGATTTGATATAGGTTCGTTTAGGCTTTTGGAAGTTTGTTTTCGGTTTCGAAGCGGTATATACTCTTTCATGTAGATGTACACGTTTTATTTTCCCAATCTTGATGTGGGAAATGAGATGTACACGTTTTTTTTGTATTGTTTTGCTAAACCTTTTCTAATAAACCTTGAATATCTAGGCAAGCCTTTTTGTGTAGTTAGATGGATCGAACTTGGGTCAATGCAAGTCGCATGTCAGAAGAGTATGAGAATGGAGTTGACTTCTTTTTGAAATTTGCCGAACAAAATGCTCCCAAAATGAATGGAAAAATCTATTGCCCATGCGTTAATTGTGTAAATGACAGAGTACAAGAGATGGACACAACGCGGGAACATCTTATTTGCGATGGGATGATGAAGAATTACACCATATGGACATGGCACGGTGAAGTGGTTGATATTCCAACAGTATCACAAACTATTGAGGATGATGTAACCTGCGAAGATCGAATAGAGGACATGCTTTGTGATGTGGGTCAAGAGAGCTTTCTTGAAGTACATGCATCTATATATGATACATTGAGGATCGATTCAGAGACACCTTTGTATCTCGGATGTACAACTTTCACACGGTTGTCATCTGTGTTAAGATTGGTCAATCTAAAAGCAAAATTTGGTTGGAGTGATACAAGTTTTAATGAATTACTCCAACTTTTGAAGGAGATGCTCCCAGACAATAACACCTTGTCGGATCGTATGTATGAAGCGAAGAAGATACTATGTCCGATGGGTTTAGAATATAGGAAGATACATGCTTGCCCTAATGATTGTGTGTTATACAGGAAAGAATTCTCATCTTTAGACCAATGTCCAACATGTGGTGTCTCACGTTACAAAGCGAAGGATGGTGATGATTGTAGTCAGGAGAGTGGTAAAAAACGTCCTCCTGCAAAAGTTTTATGGTATCTTCCAATAATTCCAAGATTTAGGCGGTTGTACGCTCACGAAGATGCTTGAAAATTTAATTTGGCATTCAAAGAGAAAAACATGTGATGGGCAAATGCGACATCCATCCGACTCTCCCCAATGGAAGAATTTTGACCGTCTATTTCCAAGTTTTGGTAGTGATGCAAGAAACCTTAGACTTGGATTAGCAACAGATGGGATGAATCCTTTTGGAAATTTAAGTAGTAACCATAGTTCATGGCCCGTTTTATTGATGATTTACAATCTTCCACCATGGTTATGCATGAAGCGCAAATATGTCATGTTGTGTATGATGATTTCAGGTCCAAGACAGCTAGGAAATGACATAGATGTGTATTTGAGTCCTTTGATAGAAGACTTAACACTATTATGGGAGGAAGGAGTAGATGCATTTGATGGGTATCGGCAGCGAAGTTCAAGTTGCATGCAATGTTATTTTGTACCATTAATGACTTCCCTGCCTATGGAAACTTGAGTGGGTATAGTGTGAAGGGGCATTATGCTTGTCCTATTTGTGAAGAAGAGACCGAGTTATATACAATTGAAACATGGAAAGAAGACAGGTTTATAACAGGCACAAAAAATTTCTCCCGCATGACCATCCATACCGTAGACTGAAGAAAGCTTTTAATGGCATACGGGAGGATGAAATTGCCGAGAGAACCATTGACCTGGTTTAGAAGTTTACGATTGAGTGAAGAACATAAGCATTACATTTGGAAAGACCCAAAAAGGTCTTCGACAAGAACATGTGGAAGAAGAGATCAATTTTCTTTGATCTTCCATATTGGAGCCATTTAGAAGTACGACATTGTATTGATGTTATGCTTGTGGAGAAGAATGTATGTGATAGTCTCATTGGCACATTGTTAAACATTCAAGGAAAGTCAAAGGATGGGATCAAAGCACGTCAAGACCTTTGTGAGATGGGAATACGTCCTGAATTACATCCAAGGCCTGAAGGCAATAGAACATATCTACCACCAGACATGTCACACCTTGTCAAAGAAGGAGAAACGTAGTTTATGTCATTGTCTTGCAAGTATTAAAGTGCCACAAGGATACTCTTCAAATATTAAGAGTCTTGTATCCATGAAAGATCTGAAGTTAATTGGATTAAAGTCCCATGATTGTCACGTTTTGATGCAACGAGTTGTTACCAGTGGCTATACGTAACATATTGCCTAAGAATGTTAGACATGCCATTATGCGACTATGTTTTTTCTTCAATTCTATTTGTGCCAAGGTTATCGATGAAAAATCACTAGATGAGTTGGAAAATGAGGCTACGGTTGTGCTATGTCAATTGGAGATGTATTTTCCTCCATCATTCTTTGATATAATGATTCACTTAATAGTTCATGTTGTGAGGGAGATACGAATTTGTGGGCTGGTTTATTTGAGGTGGATGTACCCAATTGAGCGATACATGAAGATCTTCAAAGGGTATTCTAAAAATCCATACGGACACTGAAGCTTCAATTGTTGAGCGGTATATTGCGGAAGAAGCCATAGAATTTTGTTCAGATTACTTGGCAAGAGTCGTACTGTGGGTGTACCTAGAAATCGTCATGATGATAGGCTAAATGGTAAGGAAACTCGTGGTATTAGAATTCAAACAAAATATCATGTAGAGTTGACCACCGCCCACTTGTATATTTTGAACAATACGGAAGAGGTTATTCCTTACATAGATGCGCATAAAGCAATGTTAAAGGACCTAAACCCCAAAATGGGTGAAAGGTGGTTGATGAAAGAGCATAACAACAACTTTATCAATTGGTTTCAAAGCAAAATATTTTCAAGTGACAATGCCTCGATACACTTGAAATGGCTAGCACATGGGCCTAGATATAATGTTATAACTTGGCAAGGGTATGACATTAACAAATACTCATTCTATACGAAGGCACAAGATGACAAAAGTACAGTCCAGAATAGTGGAGTATCTATTGAGGCAACATCTATGCACTTTTCTAGTGCAAAGGACAAAAACCCCATCATGGCATCAATTAGTTACTTTGGAGTCATTGAGGAGATTTGGGAGGTCGACTATACTAAATTCAAAGTGTCTTTATTTAAATGTAAATGGGTTGATAGCAATACTGGTGTCCAAAGAGACCAAATGGGATTTACTTTGATTGATATAAACAAGATTGGTCATAAGGAAGAACCCTTCATAATGGCATACCAGGCAAAACAAGTGTTTTATGTCACTGATCCATCAAATGATAGGTGGTCAGTTGTCCTCAAAGGAAAAATGATTGATGTCACAAATGAGAATGGAGAAGAATTAGATGATTTTATTAACATTCAAAATTCACCATGGTTGCATATTGCTATATCCCAATTGGAAGAGGACTTTGTTCATGCTACTCGCAATGACCATGATGAAGGCATATGGGAAAATATTAATACAATCTAAGTTATGTTTCTATTTGTTTATTTTTTTAACATGTAATTGAGGAGACTTTGCATGTGTATTGATATAATTCTATGTTTTTTTCATTACAGGTAAATGGCATGTCCTTCACCATCTCCTCCACCATCTCCACCACCATCTCCTCAGGCATCTGGAAAGACATTTTCCAGTAAGAGGAGTCGACAATCTACACGGTTGAAAGGCTTGACCGTTAGACACATATCCGACCGGAAGTTATTTGTGTCTCGTTGATCCTAGGGCTCGACAAGGTGTCGGGTCCCTTTAGTACCCAATTTAGTAGCTACTTGGGTACACTAGCTAGAGAGAAGGTATTTATTCTATTTCAAAGTTAATTTCATTTCAAATATATTGTTGATACTTATGTTGTTTATGTTGTGTAGATATCTATTCTCCATCCTACTTGGGATCATGTGGAGGAAGCTGTGAAGAACTTGTTATGGCAAAATCTTCTTGTAAGTATGTGTATTTAGTTGTTTATATTGTTTATACATTATTATCAATTGGTTAACTAAAACTTTTTTGCTACTTGTAGGAACACTTTGATATAGTCAATTCGAGGATGTGAGGAGGAAGATAATGACGACCATAGAAAAAATGTGGAGACAGTTCAAGTCCACATTGACCACTAAATGGGTGTATGCTTGAGGACAAAGTTAGGAAGGGA